TTGATGACTTGAAATATCTCGTATAAGTGGAATCATGTAGTATTTGTCTTTTTGTGACTGGCTTATTTCACTTAGCGCAATGTCATTGCGTTTTATCCATGTTGTAGTATATTGCAGAATTTCCTCCCTTTTCCATTCAGGCTGAGTAGCACTCCATTGTATATAAATGCCACATTTTGCTTTTTCCATTCACTTGGGTTGCTTCCATGTTTTAGCTCTTGCAAATAATACTGCTATCAATATGTACAAATACCTCTTTGAGATTCTTCTTTCAATTCTTTTGGGTATAGACCCAGATGTGGAACTGCTGAGTCATATGGTAATTCTACTTATAATTTTTTGAGAACCATTATACTTTTCCACAGCAGCTGTACCATTTTACATTCCCACCAGCAGTGCACAAGGGCTCCATTTCTCCAATCCTCTTAAAGATTCAGTACAGGGCCTCCTCTTCCAGAAAGCCCTCAGTGATCTCTCTCCTGGGAGGGGTGCCTCTGATGTGCTGACACAGTATTTATTGAGCAACTACTCTATACTAGATTCTGAGCTTAGCATTTGAAACAAAGATTTGCTTAAGACACAGTCTCTGCTCTCAGACACCCACTGTCCCATTACTGATGAACATGTCGAGAGGGTAGGACTCAAGACTGAGTTCTATGCCAGGCCACTAGAGAGCCCTCCAAGCAGAGAGCAATAGTGATGCAGGTTGGGCATAAGACAGTAAGGAATGGTGGAGACTAGGGCAAAGCTAAATACATGTCCAGTCTGTGGGTACAGCTACTTCTCAGCTCTGGCCAGCTGTTGCCATGCAGGAATCCAGAGCCAGGTTTGCCAGATGTTGTAATGAGAAGTCGGAAATTTGGATTTCTGTCTGAGATCTCCTAATATTTATACATTAACAACTGATCCCATTTTTTTTAAGGCTCTGTGTAGGATAAGCAAAGCATTTCCCAGCACTGTATATAGCCCTGGACTAAAAGTTTATACTCAGTTCTGCTCATCAAGCAATTCATTATTAGGAAGTATAAGTAATAAATGTCACTCAGCTTTCACTTCTCCATTTTGTCTGTAACAAAATCATATGACACTGTGGTCAGATTTCTGGTGAAAGTCCCAATCAATATGTCTTTATTGGATCTCAACCCCTTTCTGTAATGGAAGGTCCATGGACTTGGGTGACATAGGTCAGCCTTAAGATTCTGGGTCTACCTTTTACTAGCTGCGTGGCTTTGGGAAAACGACCTGACATCTGCCCCTCCGTTTTCTTACTATCAGAATGGGATCATCATGCCCACAAGATTTTGTGACGATGAAAGATCACAGATGTTGAACTGACCTTGAACCTGTGACACGGTGTCTGCTCACTGAGTACTGAACTCTTCTCTCCTTTCTTCCTGAGCTATCAGCCTTGTAATCCCCTCCAACGGGAAATGCCAGAGTAGACAGTATGTGTGGTAAGTTCTGTACATCCCAGAGAAGGCAAGCTTTATGTGGAAGGAGCAATCAGGGAAAACTTTCTGGAGGAGGAGAATTCAATGTAGCCGTTCTGCCAGTGAGCCTTGGCAATCCTGCTCTGTGTTCCAGACTCCTGCTGGGTCATCAAACCCTTTGTTAAAGCCAGGAGTGTTTCAGTGGCTGGGGTCCCGGGGCCAGAGATTGTCCAGGTGCCTGTGGCCGTCCTCAGTGGGGCTTGAGCCCTGGGCGAGCTTGCACAGGATGGATGCAGCAAGAGCTAGAGGACCAGCATGTTTATGGGAAGCCTAGTTCATTCCACAGGTATTTCTTGAGGACCTACCAGGGATCAGAAGTTGTTCTAGGTTCTGGGGTCAGAAATAAATCAGAGAAGAATCCTGCCCCCAACAATCTTCTACTCTTGTTGGGGTATTTTAATTGATAATGTGTGAATGATTGGCTCCATTACCAAAGAGAGGGGAGCTGGAAGGGGCTAGATTGTTGGGGTGACAGTGAATTTAGTTCTGGGGTTCCTGTGGGCCACGGAGCTAGAATATCAGGCAGGTATTTAAATTTTAATTATGTTTATTTAAATATAGAATTAATAGAACATGAATTAGAGTATAATTATTAAGATCCAGATACCTGCCTGATATTTAAATCTGGAAATCCTTTAAGTTATATTAGAAGTATAGACTCGGGCAGTGGGGAGAGTATGAAAGCTAGTGCCGGAGCGGTCATGCATTCACTCAGCCAACCTAACTGAGCACCTGCTCTGTGCCGAGATTCTGGGTCCACTTTTGCTAGCTGTGTGGCCTTGGGAAAACCGCCTAACATCTGCCCCTCCGTTTTCTTACTTACAGAAATGAAACAGACACTGTGCCTGCCCTCACCTCAGTTCAGTGGGAAGACACAACAGCAGTAACATCTACACTCGTTACGATTCGCTAGGCGCCTGCTCCGTTCCGCTGAACCCCTCAGCCTGCCCGTCGCGTTGAATGATCAAAATTACAAAATGAAGCAGGTTTTGTTTTTGACCTGCCTTACGGATGATTAAACTGAGACCCGAAGAGGCCAGGTGGCACAGGCAGGCAGAGGTGACACCCAGATCAGAATCCACTTCTGTCTCACTTGAAGCTCAGGCTCTTTGTCCCAACACTGGGTTTTCTCTCCATTCATACATTGTCTTTGTCTACCTGGCGCTACTGCGAGTCAGAGCCAGGCCCAGCACGGCCAGTGGGAGCTCCTGGAATCCGCATGGAAATAAGACCCGAATCCCTAACCTCAGATGAGCTCACCTCAGGAGAGAGGAAGACAGGGGGAGCAGACCCCGGCATCTGGGGGCTGGCGGGGAGGGTAGCTGGGCAGCAGGAGCACAGAGGGCAGGGTGCCCCTCGAAGGCCAAGGGGAGAGGGTTCCGAGGAGATCGTCAGCGGGATGGGGTGCCTGAGAGCCTGAGGGGGTGAAGCCAAGCTTGGGCAACACAGGGCTTTGGGGGACCGTGAGAGCCAGCTTGGTGGCTTAGCCAGGCAGCGAAGGGTTCGGCAGAGAGAGGGTGATGAGCAAGTGGAGGCTTCTCTGCCTGAAAACTGGGCTTTTAGAGGAATCAGAAAGCTGGAGAGAGGTCAACAGAAGCAAACGATGTTTTCCCTTTCTGGGCTTTCCTATGTTCGTTTAGATGGCGAGGCCGTGCACACCCCTGGGGAGGAAGGAACTGGCCGCAAAAGAGAAATAAAAATGCAGAAAGGAGGGGTGCTCCCCAGAGGGGTGGAGGGGTGCTCCCCAGAGGGGTCACCGCCCGCGGACATGCTGTGTATTCACTTACCGGATGCTTTTACTATCGGGTTTTTCCCAACCAGAGGGCGGCTCGTGGGGACCCGGTCTCTTGCTCACAGTGGGTCTCCAGCCTGACCAGTAGCAGACACTCATTGGGTACTTTTTGTATGAAATTGGATTCACAGGGAGAGACAGGCCATGAGGGCCTGAAGGAGGGGCTCTCAGGACGGGAGGAGGGGAGCCCCCACACCTGCTCAGAGGGGGTGTGTGCGGGTCAGGATGGGGATCCCGGGACTAACAGAAGTGCAGAGTGGAGAACAATAACAGCTACCGTGTCCTTGTGAGAACTCTCTAGAACGCTATTTTTGTGTTAGCATTCTTTTGCCACTACTCTGTTACAAATGTATGAAATCATTTAGTCAAAATAACTCTGAGTAAAGAGAACTACAATCAGCCCTGAGGTGAAAAAGCTCGTAGGGGGGAGGTCTGGATTTGAACCCGGGACTGGAGCCATGATGCAAACCCCTGAGCCACACCCTTCCCACCTGGCCTGATTTTCTACAGTGCTTTCCCCTCCGTGAGCCTCCCAGGCGGCTGGAGTTGTTATTCTCGTATGTCAAGGGACCAAACAGAGAAGTGTAGTAACTGGCCCGGAGTCACACAGCACTGAGTTGGGGGACTTGAGCTTGCATTTCTCTCTCTGCTGCAAGGCGGTGGTTTCTCCTTCTCAGAGGGAAGAAGTGCAGCAATTTTGTAGGGAGTCTGTGCAAAAGGAGGTGCCGGCTGCGTTGGGAAACATCACCTGCGACTCGGGTGTGGGGTTTTCGCAGGCTCCTGAGCAGGACAGAGAGATGGTGCTGGCAGATGGGAAGCAACAGGAAGAGAACAGGGCAGAGTCTGGAGGGGGTGCCACCTGGCTGTCCTGGCTGCCCCTGGCATGAGGCTGAGTGAGACAATGAAATTCGAGCAGGGGCGTGGGCTGGAGGCCTTGACAGAGACCCAGTGTGGCAGGGGGAGGGCCGCCACACCCAGAGGGGTCATTCCAGATCTCCAGGCCTTGACCAAGAAGAGCCCCGGACGGTGGGTGGCCCCAGCCAGACGGAACTCAATATCCCTCCCGAAAGCCACCTGGACCCTGTGATGTGCTTAAGGAAGTAGCTGCTTCTCAAAACAGGGAGGAAAAAAGTCCCCTGGGGTCTTGAGAGCAGAAGTCCAGCTTCCTTTTGTGAGCTGCCAGGAATCTTGGAGCTGGCAGGGTGTGGTAGGTGGGCAGGGAGGCCCTTAAAAGCAGGAGGCCCAACCCCTCTTCTCCAGGCCCCACAGTGACGACGGAGAGAAGGGCTCGCTGGTGAGGAATCTCATTCTGGGGGTGGACAGGTTGGCACGGCCGGGTGGGAGAGGGGACCAGCCCTCCACTGCTCCCCTCGCAGACTGCAAGGTCTCCAACCGCCTTCAGACAGTGGGGCTGGTGCTGTCCGTCCTGTCCTGCTGGAAGACGTGGATTGTGGGGGTCCTGGGAGGACGCGGGGGCTGCTGCATGTGCACTGGAGGGTCTGTGTGTGCAGAGCCTGGCTGCTCCCCAGCCCCCACAGTTCATGCTTCTGCCGGGCTGTCCGTCTCCAGGCTCCCCACTGCTCGTCACTGCAGCCACCGCTTGGCTCCAATTATCTGTGGCCGCACTCCTTCCCCTCTGTGGTTACTGGACCGAAATAGCCAGCCCCACATCCTTCCCCTGGGAGCCTGCTCTGGGCTTCATTGATGGTCCATGTTCCCTGCCCGCCCCAGGCCAGCTGGTTCCCTGCCTCTGCCACCACCTCCGTTCTCTTTCGGGCCCCTTTGCACGGGGCCCGGCGCTCGCACCCACAGCCCGTGCCCCAGCGCGTTCTGAATTGCACAGAGATTTCGGTCTTGTTCAGGTATGATGAGGCCAACAGATCAGGAGACGCAGCATTTAAAAGATAGTTTGTCACAGTTTCCAAGGGAAGGGGACACACCACTGGGCAAGGCCTCTCGGCAAGTGCCCGGGCCGAGCAGGAGGCGAACGGAAGCCTGGCCCAGAGCCTGTCTCGTGTTTCCCACGGGAGCGGGCAGTTTCGGATCGACTCGCTTGTATCATTTCAGTGGGCTCCAGGCTGCAGGGGAGGCTCCCACTGGCCTGTCCCTGGCCCTGGGGTGATTTAGGGCAGAGGAAATACTGCCTGGGAGCATGGGTGTGAACGAAGGCGGATGGGCAGGGGTTGGTGCGCAGATGAGAGGCGTGCTCACAGCAGCCTGGAGGAAGGAGCTAGTCCTGGGAGGCGCTGTGTCTTCCCAGCCCAGCAAGGGCCCCAAGATGTCAAAGCCTCATAAGACACAGAAAAGGAACAGCGTGGTCTCTGCACAGGGGCTGCTCGGAGGCGGGGAGTCTAGTCAGTCAAAGGAGTTGTCACCTTCCTGGGCTCAATCCTTGGGCAACTCACTTTCTCCTCCTGAGCCTCGATGTCCTTGTCTGTAAAAATCAACAGCTGGTATCTGTCGTTCAGCAAATGACCGTGGAAGGGACAGACACTCTGGTGCGGGGCCAGCACATCTCACCAGCCAGGGTCGTTGGCGGGTTGAAAGAGACAGCGGACAGTGCCTGGCACGTTGTAGGTGCCCAGTGCATGGCAGTTGGCATCTTCCTCCTGTCACAGCTCCAGGAAGCAGCTGAGGAAGATTAGTGTGGAAGGGGAGCTGCTAGGGCCATTGCCTTGGCTATTCAGAGCCCTCAGAGCAGAGGCCATGGGTGGACAGAACCCTCAGCAATGCTCTTGGAACTCAAGGAGCTGCTGGACAAACATGGAATGGAGAGGCCGTCCCCAGAGTCAGGAGCCCGGGAGAGCGGGAGGTTGTGTGTTTGGAGCCAGGCCTTGCGGGGGTGGGGGATGGGCAGGGCTCGGGGCATAGCACTGGCAGACAGGCCTGCTGCACTCAGGGATCAGAGACAGCAGGGCACCGAAGGGGAAATCCTGGCAGACCACTGGCCAGCTGAGCAGATGAACCAGGACGCTGCGGTCCAGAGGGAAGGGAAGCAGGTTAGAATCAGACACCTGGCTTTTCCTCTGCCTTCGGGTGGATTGTTTTGGACGCTAGGTCAGTGATTCACGTATCTGCTGGGGAGGGAAGCTGTGTGGTGCATGGAGGGCGCACTGGGCCTGGGTTCGAACCCTCCTTCCCTGTTACTGTGTGACTTCTGGCAAGCTCCTTGAGTTCTCTGAGCCTGCACTTCTCCATTGGCAAATGGACATGATACCTTTCTGAACTCTCCTGAGTGCCCAGGGTCAACTTATTGTAGCCACAGTGCCTGGATCTGTGAGAATGTTTCAATTTTAAATTCTTTTACCGTTGGAGAAAAGAATGAATATAATAATAATAATGAATTCAGCATGGATTGCATTTGTTTTTATACCAACATCATTGTAAAATATGATTTAAAAAAGTTTTTTTGGAGGAATTTTTTATGAAGGCAAAAGTGCTTGAGACCCACGACAACCCCACTGAGGCCCTGAGAGCCACGTCACATAGGCGTGTTATTGCTTCATTCCTGAGCCCCTGCTTCGGGCTGGGCACTGTCCTCAGTGCTGGGAAACAGGGTGAATCTTCTCAGCTTCTGCCCACAAAGCACCAGCAGAGAACACATCCTTGAACAGGCCCCCCAGCCCAGCCGATGTGGCACAGCGGTCGAGCATCGACTCATGCACCAAGAGGTCGCTGGTTCGATTCCCGGTCAGGGCACATGCCCAGGTCATGGGCCCAATCCCCAGTTGTGGGGTATGCAGGAGGCAGCCAATTGATGTTCTTTCTCATCCATGTTTCTATCTCTCGCTCCCTCTCCCTTCCTCTCTCTCTAGAATAAAAAAAAAAAAAAAAAAAGAACAGGCTCCTGGCACCATAAGATAAAGGAAGACGAGACTTACAACCATCAGCTTCCCTTGTGCCCTCTCAGCCTGGCACCAGCCTCTCCCTCTGTCCGGGATGCGAAGGGAGAGACTGGTGCCAGGCTGGAAGGGCACAAGGTCCTTACAGGATGCCAGGTCCTTATGTCCTTCATCAAGGACTGTCCAGCTGTATCAACTCCTGCCCCTCCCTTGTGCCATCAAATCTCCATGCACTTAAGAATCCCACCTATTCCTCTGGTTACTTTGCCCCTCTGCCCCCAGGCACCCCTTGGATCAACTCCTTGAGGTGCTTGCCTCATTTTTTCTCACTGGGGTTGCCCATTGATTGACCAACACGAGAGGGCGGGACTTGGTGGGAAGCCAGGGGCAAGATCTAAATGGGCTGTGGGGACTTCTCCTGATACGTATGTCATGGGGATGTTTTTTCTTTTCCAGAACCTCCGAGATGAAGGGGCTCCTCACACTGGCTTGGTTCCTGGCTTGTAGTAAGTGCTGGCTCCATGACTTTGAACTTGGGACCGTCTCCCCGCTGAGAACAGCAGGGTAGTGGAGAGGAGACAGGTCTTTGAGGCTGTAGAGACTGACGTTTGAATCTGAGCTCTACACTTACTGTGTAGGCATCAGCAATAGTCTTGGCCTCTCCCAGCCTCTGTTTTCTCACCTGTGATGTAGGGGAATGGTCAACCAGCAGGCCGTGGCGGGAGCCTAGGGGGTGACGTGTAAAGGTTATGTTCTACGGAGACTTTGTGGCTGGTAAAGGCAGAAGGCAGATTTTTTTTGTTTGATAGAAACAAAATAAAATAAAGCCAAGACAAAAACCAAATAAAAAAGAAAGCACCTTATAGGAATATTCCATCCCATGATTCCTGCTCATTTTCTGCTTAGGCCTGTCCACATTTTCTCTGCCCCCCACCTGCCGCCACCTCCCAGCTGGCCGGAGGTAACTGCACAGCATGGGGGTGGGGTCTGTCCTTAGGCCTCCCCTGCAGCCCCTGACAGGCCGTCCTGCTCTTTGATGTCTCCAGATCCCTGGAGACTCTGGCTCACTGTGTACCCTGCACAAGCCAGCTTTCCCTCTAGGCCTCAGTTTCCCAATCTGCAAGGTGAGGGAGCGGGCTTCAGTAAGCTCTAATGGGCCCATCCTGCTCCGAGATTCCTATGTTCTAAATGATGTTCGTTGGGAGGGGGAAGGGTCCACTGTCAGGGGATATGGAAAGAGTCTGCCTGCTTCGTACAGACACCGTATTAATTATACCTCGTTTCTTGGTCACTCAGTATGTATCCACCACTGTGCTCAAGATGTACATCCTTTATCTTAATTTAACCCTCATGACAACTCCAAGAGGTAGGCGTTCGTTTTAGGGAAGCGAGGCTGAGAGACAGGTGGCCTATTCGGCAGCATATGGGAATTAGTGGTGGGGCTGTGATTTGACAGGTGCGCTCATTCTCCAGGTCCACACCTGTAACCACATCTCTCTCCTGCTTGCCCTGCCCCCCTCGTCCCGGGCCCACTCCGGGGAGGATAAACAGGGCGGCCGGGCCCCTCCAAGCCCCGCGGGGGAAAGGGCAGAAGCATGTTGGAAAGCAGGGCTGTCTTTCAGGTGTGCCGGCTGCGTCAGGGAGTTTGCTAGACTTGAAGTTCATGATTGAGGAGGTGACGGGAAAGAACGCCATCTCAGACTATGCCTTCTACGGCTGTTACTGCGGCTGGGGCGGTCGAGGGACCCCCAAGGATGGCACTGACAGGTGAGCTGATTATCAGATTATCACGACTGCCATTTACCCTCCAGGCTCTGCACATTGACTCCCCTCATTCCACGTCGAATCTGCAATATGGGTATTAAATTACCATTTTATAGATAAGAAAACCGAGTCTCGGGGAGATTAACTGACTTGCCCAAGATATATCTAGTAACTCTCCACATCTCAGTGGCCTAAGGTATCAGATGGTCTATGGCTACATCACAAGCCATCCAAAAATGTAGTGGCTTAATTCGACGATGAGCATTGGTTTTGCTAAGCATCCGCCATTGGGGCAGGGCTCGGTGGGACAGCTTGCCTCTCCTCCACCAAGCCGCAGCTCGGGCACCTCAATGGGGGCTGGATGAACCACTGTCCAGATGATGCTAGACAGCTGGCACGTTGATGCTGTCTGCTGGCTGGGCGCTCCCAGATTGTTTGACCCCCCTCACAGCACGTGACTCTTGCGTTCCAGGAGGAAGTGTCCCAAGACCTCAAGACAAAGGAGTATAGCATTTTTATGACTGAGCCTCAGGAATGTCACAGTGGTCCTTCCAGTACACCTCTGGTTGAGACACTCATAATGGCTTTAAGAGGGAGGGGACCTAGTTTTCACGTCTCAATTAGGAAGTGTCAAAGTTCCAGAACGTGTCAGACGGGAGAGACTGTTCTTTGGAAAATGCACGCTGCTGGGCATGTATGATGGAATGGGACACTGAAGCAAATGAATGGCCAGTGGTCGGAGGCGAGTTTGTTGCTGCTGGAGTGGAGTTTACAGACACACAGGACAGGGAACTAGAATGATCTATGGTGATGGGTTAGACTTGGAGATGTCAGTATGAACTCCCGTTTACCTTAATATAGATGCAGATGGTTACATGTAGAAATATGTACACGTGTGTATGTGGGTATAAAAATTTCTTTTTTACTCTGTCAGTTGAGAAGACCTAAAAGAAACCACCCCTCAGTAGCAATAAGTAACACTTAGCGCCCAGATCTGGTTTCTATTACCACACCATTGTCCAAGGAACCGAGGCTCCTTGAGAAATGGCTGATACTAGGACTAGCACAGGGAATATGCAAGATGAGCCTGCAGCTTCTTATATTAGAAAGTAAGGAGGTGCTCACACAAAACAAACCAGACCCCAGACAGACCCCCGTTCACAGAGATATGTCAAAGAGCACAGGAGACAACTGAAGAGCTCCCAGTGGCCAACGCAGGGACTATTTGAACAAAATGTAAATACATACCATGAGAAAAATGTCAGAGAAATCCCCATAGTAGGGTGTCCTGCAAAATACCTGACCAGTACTCCTTAAAACTGTCAAAATCATCGAAAACAAGGGAAGTGTGAGAAACCGCCATGGCCAAGAGGAGCCTAAAGAGGTGTCACAACTTGATGTAATGTGGTGTCTGGGGTGCAATCCAGCAACAGAAAAGAGGACCTTAGGTGAAAACTAAGGACTTTAGGTGAAAACTAAGGAGATCTGAATAAGCTATGAACTTTTTACTTACAACTAATCAATCAATAAAGAAATATTGCCCTGGCCGGTTTGGCTCAGCGGTTAGAGCATCGGCCTGAGGTCCAGAGAGACCCGGGTTCGGTTCCCGCTAAGGGCACGTACTTCGGTTGCAGTTTGTCCCCGGCCCTGGTTGGTCGTGCGGGTGGCAGCCACTCGATGTGTCCCTTCACATCGATGTTTCTCTCTCTCTCTCTCTTCCTCTCTCTCCCTCCCACTCTATCTGTACAAAAAATGGAAAAATATCCTCGGGTGAGGATAAAAAAAAAAAAAAAAAGAAATATTATTACTTAGTAATTACTTAAATTATTTAGTCAATATTGGTTTATTGTAACACGTATTATATATTATTATCATATATTAATCTTATATTAATAAGATGTTAATAGGAGAAACGGGGGTAAATGGGAACACTGTGTACAATTTTCTCAACTTTTCTGTAAATCAAAAAAAAAATTAATGCAACTTGCTGCACCTAACATACTGGAAATTTACTTTTTGATCTTGTAACAGTTCAATCAAGCATGTTGATTCTGGGATCCAAGTTCCTTCTGTCTTGTGGCTCTGCTATTCCCTATGGCTTCAGAGTCCTTGACTGGATCATCTTCATCCAGCTGAGAGCTGGAAAGAGAGAGAAAGTGGAAGATAACCTGTGAGGTTTTTATGAGTAGGTCTCAAAGTGGTGTACATCACTTCTGCCCACATTCCCCTGGCTGGAAACTCGTCATGTGACCACATGTGCCTGCAAGGGAGGCTGGGAAATGTAGTCTAACCATGAGCTTAGGAGGAAAAAGCAGGTCAATGAGCTGCTAGCCAATGGCAGGCAGCTCTAGAGCAAAGACATATTATTGTTAGATTCTTTCTCTGCCAGGCCACACCCACCAATGGCCTCTGCTTAAGTGACACGCCTCTTCCACTCAGGATCTAAGTGTCTTGCGTTGACAGGTGCTGTCAGTTGCATGACTACTGCTATGAGCGGCTGGAGAATAGAAGCTGCGGCATCCTGACGCAGTCATACAAATTCAGAGTCTCAAGGGGCCAGGTCACCTGTGGTAAGGCTGGGGCTTCCCATTCAGGCCACTGGAAGAGCCTGGGTCTCGGCTGGCTCTGAGTTCAGCTGCCCCTAGAGGTCAGCCAGCCTAGATCTTGAGGGGCAGAGCTGGGGGCAGGAGGGACAGGAATATTACAGCTGTATCCGACCCCTGGGAGTGGTGCCAAACGCCTTGCATGGAAAATACCCTGTGAGTAGGTTTATCTCCCCATTTTATGGATGAGGAAACTGAAACACAGAGGCTTGCCAGTACACACAGCTAGAGTTGGGATTCAAGTTCAGGTTCATCCGAGTTCAAAGCTCAGTCTGAGTCTGGCGTCTCTGTGAGAACTGGGGTTCCTCCAGAGAGGGATCCGTCTCCACCATCAGACTAGGAGTTCCCTGAGGGCAGGAGCTGTGTCTCCCTGGGCTGTACCCTCACCCTGGGCAGCAGCTGGGCCTCCTCCATCAGCTTCTGCATTTCCCCGGGGTAGACGTCGGCCCTCACTCCACACTGAGCGCTCCATCTGAGCGGGAAGCAGACCAGGAGTCTGCTCAGCCGAGAAGCACGTGCTGAGCAGAGCCAGCGCAGGAGGCAGTGGGTAGGGGGTACCTGCCCGTCCTCATTCTGCATCTGGTGTCCTGCTTGCAGAGTCCGGAACCTTCTGCCAGGAGCAGTTGTGCGCCTGTGACCAGAGGTTGGTCTACTGCCTGAGGAGAAACCTAAGGAGCTACAGCCGTCGTTACCGATTCTTTCCCTACATCTTCTGCAAGTAGCGGCCCGCAGCGCGCTCCTCCAGGCCACGGCTCGCCCCTTCTCCTTCCACATGGGGCTCGCTGGCTCACCTGGGTTCCTGAGAGAGGCTCCCAGGTCTTGCCCCCGGTTCTTTCTTGATGGCCACTGGGCTTGGTGGAGGCCCACAGCTACGCTTCATCCCCCAGAGAATCCCCAGGGAGTGACTCTGGCCGTAGGACTTGGCAAGGTCAAGGTCAAGGCCTCCGCTTGCGAGATCAGTTCTTCTGGTGCCCGGAGCTCACTCCTAAGTCGTCCTTGTCTCTGAAGACGGTGCCCCTTCTCCAGGAGGAAGACTTTCCTGGGATGCATTGACTTTTTGGTTTCTGCCACCCTCTAGAGAATTTTACTCAAGAAGTAAAATTAACTTCATAAATCTGACAGTGAGATATTAAACACAATTTCTGCTCCAGAACGATAAAAACCATGTCGATGTTCTCCTCTGCGGTGGGGGGCTGCGCGTGTCTCTTTCTCTGCCACTGACTCAGAGTTAACCAGCTCCTCTCAGAGAGGGAGGAGCAGGCTGGCAGAGGGGTTCGGAGATGACTGTCAAGGCTTCTCTGGGGCTCAGCTCCTTAAATCTTGGGGATCCTCTGAAGCTAAGCATTGGGTCTCATTTTTCCTGAGTGGGTGGGGAGAAGATGATTGACAATTATGCCAATGTGGGCTTTTAGGCCAGAGAGGGCCACGTTCAAATTCCAGCTTGGCTTCTGCAGCAGGGACAGCCTACCCATTTCTGAACGGCTTTGACATTTTTTTAAAAATATGTTTTTATTGATTTATTTTTATTTTTTAGAGAGAGAGAGATAGATCACTCAGTTGCCTCCTGTATGCACCTCGACCAGGTGCCAAGCCCACAACCTGGGATTGAACTGGTAACCTTTGCGTGCGCAGGACGGCACTCAGCCAACCGAGCCACATTGTCCAGGGCTCTGGCCTTGTTTTTATAAAAAGAGACCGTAATGTTTCTTGCGCTGTAAATCAGGAAACCCTAAGCCACCTTGATGCTGACGCAGGGTTGCTGAGGTTCTGGGATTTCACAGAACAGAACATTTTTAAAAATAGGGTTCAGCTATGGGGTTCATTTTGACCAAGTAAGGACATTAAAAAACCCAACTCATCTAGTAATTTGTAAAAGAATACCAAGCTAGCAGGATGAAAGGACGTATTTTAAAACAAAGGAGAGTCCTGTCAGAGAAAAGCCCTTGGCTTCCTTCCACCGACAAGCCCCAAAATAACCACATGATAAATGGAATCTATATTTTAAAACCTCCAGTGTTACACATTTTTCAAAATAAAATTTGCTTTTTTTGATTACCCTGAATGTACTGGCGTTTTAGAAAAGTTTGATATGGACTCATGTCTATATTTCACAATATAACACAGAGTGGGGCTCAAATGTCCAATTTGCTCATAAAATTTTTTTGATCAAAGCCGTTTCCCAAATCCATTTTTAAACAAGCGTGTGGAGGAAATGGGGTGTTAATGCCATTTCTCTTCAAGTGCAACATTCTGCATGATGGAGAAGAGACCCCGCCTTCAGGGTCAGGTGGCAGGCAAGGTGGTGTCTTGCTGGTAAGTTCTGCAGGAAGGGACTGTAAACAGGCCCTTCTCTTGGGGCATCCCAGCTCAGAGGATTCGCACAGGTGCCACAGGCATTTGAGGACGAGGGGTGCTGTGAGATTATGAAAGCAACTTTACACGCTGACGTGGATTTGAGCTGGAAGGGTCCATGGAGAACCTTCATTTACCTACAAGGACATGGAGGCTCAGAGAGGTTAGGAGACTTTTCCGAAGTCACACACCACACTGACAACAGATGCTGGTTCCAAACCCTGGGCTCTGACCACTTTCCCACAGTCTTCCCCTCCAGCCCACACAGAGAGAAGCGGAAGCTGGGTCAGGGACTCAGCCTCCCCTGGATTCCACCTGAGAGGCCCCTTCTTTCTCCTCGGCTCTCTCTGCCTCCGGGGGTTCCAGCCTGTCCTTGCGTGGTTAGTCTGGCGGGGTTTCTGGGCTTCATCTTCCGTGCAGGGGACCCCACTGCTGCCCTGCGGTCAGTCCACTGCCTGGGACCACCGTCACGGCTGTGAACAGCTCTGGGGAAACGTTGAAAGACAAGGGGTTACTGGAGCTTGGGAAGGGCAGTCTCCTTGACTTTTATTGGACTCTCTGTTGGCTGGCAAGAGAACCGTCAGGAAGGTCATCTCTCTCAAAACTGCACAGCCCTCCTTTCATAGGAGACCCTGGCCGGGCCATAAACGCCTCCCCGGATAGAGCTTTGTACAAATGTAGGCAGACAACGCAGATACATAGACACTCAGCAGACAGGGGGCCTTAAAAATACAGGCCCTTCACTGGCGTTGAAACGGATCCTGCCAGACGCCCTCCTTAGCTTCTCTTGTTGGAAACTTGGAGGTGGTGAAAGGCTGATGGGGGTTCCAGGCTGTCCCCAGGGGTTCCCCAGGTCCCTGCCCTGCCTCCTGAGAGCTCAGACAGCAGCACCAGCACAAAAGAAATAGCCTCGCATAGACTTTTCCCGGCTCCCGCAATCAAGGCGAGTCGAATCACCATTTAAAGAGATGCCCTTACTATATACATAGGTATCCGCAGCAGACCTGCTGCTCCAAGCACACTCTGGTTGATACAGCGGGCTTCCTGGTTCCCACCAGCACGCCTGCCACATAGCAGGTGCTCCGCAAATGTTTGTTGAGTGACTGAGGGATTGAATGAACAAATGAACAGCCCCTGCCCTCAGAGAGTTCACACATCAGTCTGGGAATAGGAACTGAGGAGCTGAGCAGGCAGTACAGGGGTTGTGGCACTTTGACCTCTCTGGTGGGGGGTTCTGGACAAGTGCTGAGCTCACCTTTCGGCCTCCCAGTCATGAATGTCCCCCTGGTCTGGGCTTGCACTGGGTGAGGGGCTGGGTGCCCCATTAGACTGCCATGCTAGGATGTGTCCTCAGGGGACCAGGGGAGACAGCTCAGTGCCCTGATGTCCAGAAGGGGGTGTGGACTTCCTGCATGTCTTGCCCCTGAAAGTGAGGTTCTAGTCATTATACGTGTCCAGATGCTGCTGCGGACACGAGGATAACTATGATCCACTTGCAGATCTGCTTCTGTCACTTGCCCCCGGGACCTACGCCAGCCCGGAAGGAAACGGGAGTGCTCACTTCTGGTTAGCCAGAGAGATTCATACCACGCACGCGCCACCAGGTAGCAGGAGCCTTGCCCAGGAACCTCACAGACCCTGCCACCTCCTAGAGGCCTCCCAGGATAGTGACCGAATCCCCTTTCCAGCAGAAGTCAGAAAGCCCACAATGATGCAAGAAGTGAACTCCTAACCGGCGTTTGCTATTATCAGTGAAGGGCCCTCTATCCATCTTTTCTCTCATGCTCTCTATTTGCATCACTCCCTTCCTCGAAGGCCTTCAGTGGCTCCCTGTTGCCTGCTTCTTCAGCCTGACATTTAGCGTCTTCCCCCAGGGGCTGTGCTGCTTTTCCAGTTTGATCTCCCAATTATTCCCTACCTGCAAAACCCTCAACTCCTCGGACCTTGTCCTGTGCTTCCAGGACTCTGCCTCGGCTCCTGTGGAGTCTTCCCTCTGGGGTGTTCACCCCTACCTTACCGTGATCTGCATCTCTCCCCCCATCAGCAAAAATAATAATTAAAGCAAACACTTACTGATTGCCTTCCGTGTGCCAGGGGCTTTCAAACAGGTTATCTCATTTCATCGTCTCTAAAATCCAATACATAGGCACCATGATCCCCTGTAATGGGTGAATAACTTGAACCCGAGCATGTAACCTTGGCTGAGCAACCAGAGAAAGGCAGAGCTGGGGTTTGGGCCCGGGACTGCGCAGATCTGGAGCCTCGGCACCCCCTGCCTCGCTCGCCTCGGGGCCCGGCACGGAGGGGGCGCTCAGGACATGGCCCGTGAGCCAGACGCCGTGCACCGCTGCCTCGCTTCCTCCACGGTGGGGCCTTAGATCCCAGGTGCCCAGAGAGCTGGGGTCACATCTGCGACTTCTTGGGAACCACAGCCAGGAGTCAGAATTTAGGGACTCAATACAGCAAACCTGGCTTGAGGGGAGCCTGGTCAGCGAAACTCTGCTGGCTCAGTGAAAACAGATGGCCATAGCCATGGCCCGGAGGCCCTGCAGTGTTTTGGGTCCCCTGAACCCTACGAGAAGCACAGATTTGAACCCTCACTAGCTGTACACATTCTGTACCCAAACCATCCAAATAGCTCCTGCACACTCGGCTGGGTTGACATTCTCTTACTCAGAGTTTTGGGTAACTAGAAGTACTGGGAACTGGACACCGGGCACATGTCCTTAGTGACGTTGGGCAGATCCCTGACCCTCCCTGACCTCAGCTTTCCCCTTTTACAAGAGCAGGTTTGATCGATCATTCTACCTGTAGCTCTGGTCCATTCGTGGACCGTGAAATCAGGTGAGAGGGCTGTGACTGGCGTGTGCGCATGCGTGTGCACGCTGCTCTAGCACAGGTAGGGAAGTGCTGAGTCAGCAGAGTGTTTCTCTTGTGGGTGAGCACGTGGGTCCAGCTGTGAATTTTGTGGCATTCTGTGAACTGCCATCAAAAGGATTTGAGGAACCCTTGCTGGCATGACCTCGCAGAGGCTGCCTGGCTCTGATCTGTGGGTGTCTCAGTGGCGTCCATGTCTTAACCTTGTTATACGAACTCCAAAGGTCACCCGGGGCTTGATGCTCCTGGACTCCCTCAGCCTTCTCTTCAAACATCGTCTGATCGGAACTGGCCTCTGGCCATGGCTCTCCCAGCCTGTGATGGCGTCAGTCCCGAAATATTCAATAACCACCCAGCAGAGCAACTGGACACCGGTGTTTGGCTCCTCACTGGGAGACAGAGCCAAGCCACTGACTTAATCACGGGGAACCCGTGTTTAAGGGCTTTGCCCTCAGAGACAGGCTCACATTGCGACTCTGCGTATTTCCTTGCCATGTAACTTCAAGGCCTGCGATTTCAATTCTCTAAGCCTCAGTTTCCTCGGCTGTCAAATGGGCTAATAACACCTTCCTCACTAGGTTGTTGGAAATATTTAATGATACAACACACACAAATTACCCACTGCAGTGCCTGGCGTATAGTAGGCACGTAATAGATGTTACCTGTCATAGGAGAGAACCACCAAACCCAAGCCCAAGCCCAAGCCCAAGGGTTTTGACTCCAGTTAGCCCTAAACACAAGCCCTGAGGGCCAAGGGCAGCGTCCAGGTCAGAAATTGGTCCCCCTTCTCCTAGTCTTCCCAGGCTGCCCGGTGCAGCACTGACCACACTGGATGTGGCCGCGGGGGACACTGGCTGTAGCGGTCCTATTTGGGGAGCATTGGCAAGCTCTCAGGAGGAAGTAGCAGCACCTGTTGGGAGACCCAGACTGAGCCCGGAGCAAGCAGGTGCTCAGCCTGTCCAGAGGCCACG